TATAACTATAGAATTAATGTAATGTAGAAATTGAGCAAAGACTACCAATCGCCAATGGGCGTTACATTGTACAGTGGCATGAAGTGCCGTAATGTGCACCTCTTCCTATCCATACAGGGATAAAAAGCGGGATGATATACCTCCAAAGCCCCTAATCCTCAAATTCCTAACCCTAAAGGGCTATGCACTTCTAACTACATACTCTGGTGGTGGGTGTTCATGTAGCTGTCTGACTTAACAGGTGATCCTCCTGCTCGTTTGCCGTCCTACTACATAAAAATACTTGTCTCGGTGACGTATTTGTCCCAATGTTGAAATTCAAATGTTCAAGTTAGGACCCTATACAATTTGTGATTCACACAAACATAATTATTATTATCCGTATCGAAATCGAATCCACATCACGGTCTGTTGTGTTGTAGCAGACGGTCGCCCAAAAACTAACACAAATCATACGATTGGTTTATGATTTTTCTATTTTTACATCACCAAATTGTACCCTGTTAATCTAGACACATTTTTCTAGCGGGACGAAAACATTTTGCGTCATTGCCAGAATCTCCTAGTTCCATCTGTTAGATTCATTTTGAACTTGTTTCTTTTCAATGTTGTTAAAACATAATGTTTAAAGAAAAACTGTGTCTATCCCTGTATATCATTAGTGTTTAAAGATACAGCAAATTAAATAATACAGAGGCCTTAGTATGAGTTTGTTTTACGTTTAACGCGATCGGACCGCGTTCCGCACTCTGATTGGCTATCTCGAATGAACCAATCAATCAGAGCGCCGAACGCAGTCGCCTCATTCGCCGAATCTTACTGAAATATACTTACGAGGAGCTTCCAGGTGTTCAAGCGGCGGGAGTGGATGTGTAGGCGTGGCCAGCTCGCGACACTCCGCACCCAGCTCCACGCGAGGTGACAGCTCCGCGTCTGAGAGCAATAGATACAGCTTACTTACTATTCAATAACAAATGTGCCTCATACCGAACGCTACGTCCTGCGTGAGCGATCTGGAAGCGAACGCGATTATGAAGCGGTGATTCGTAAATTCAGTGCGATGCGGTGCGACGTGGTGGCGATGTCCTACGTGCATGCGAATCGTTTCGCTTCATTTTTGTTTGCCAAACAAGAACATGACAGCACCGCTGATTACGTCCGCGTCATTTGGCGTCGCTCGGCACCGCATCCCACGGGCGTAATATCACGGAAACTTCAATAGTTCGACAGTTCATTGTTTTGCGCCGCACCGCACCGCACCGCTCCGCAATCGCATCTAGATCGCTCACGCAGGACATAGCGGAAGCAACATGTCCATGATTTAAATTGCTTTTCATATTAAAACTATGACAACGCCGAGCAATAAAGACATTTCTAATTTTAGAGTTTCAGGCAACATGGTCATATTTAACATGACAGTGACAGTCTACTGCAGTCCCCTAAAAGGTATGTGTCATAAGCTCCACACCTAGAAGGCGGGTTTGAGAACGCGTGTAAAAGATTCATGCTTATCATAAAGCGCAGATGCCTTGTCTTTATTAAACAGGTACCTATTCCTATTCGCGGAGAACCTAACGGGTTACCGGGGCTCCGGCTCGAAGAGCAGGAGAAGGAGCGAGGTGGTTTTCAGTCAGTAAGAGTCTGACACTCCCTCCCGCCTCACCCTAGTTATTCGATGATTTTCCCCCTTAAAAAAAAAACTATGGGAAGATTAGGGGAGGTGACAAATGTATTCTAATCTGTTAAAAGCACATGATTTATTGGGACAACCCCGCCACAACCTCCCAGAACCGCTGCAACTCCTGTAAGCCAGGATCTACAGTAGATACAACCATGAAAACAACGTAACACTGGTGTCCGGCGCGTCTCAGGGACACGAATAACTGTCTTGGATCCCGCATTGAAATAAATCAGAAGATATGTAATAATAGAGAAGAAAAAAAGATTATATTTTGGTGAATTTATGCAAGAGATAGAACATGCTGGTTCATTTCGAATTGTAGCGAAATACAGCAAAAATGTTTTTGCACAGCACGGCGATTTGTATGTGTAGTGTTATTCAAGCAATTCTGTCCCTAAATTAGACTGAATTTGACTTTGAAGTTTTGTACTCGGATTAATAATGATCCCAGAGAAGACGGATAAAATATATTCGTCTGTTTAATATAGGCGCTTTATGTTAATTTGGACATAGTATCCGGGTTATTTCGGCGCGATAAATATATTTCCCTGGCGTGACTGGAAACTAAGTAGAGTAAGCTCAAAGAAGAGTATTGTAGCTACACAAAAATACCGCGTGGATTTAAAATATTCGCATTATCACCATGTACCTAGTTGTATTATGAAAATCAAAGTTAAATTTATGTATGTAATGTCTTCGTTGATTGTTATAAAAATCTCAAATACCTTGTTTGATATGTGATTGTGAAGGGTTCGTAGGTCCCGTATAGACTCCGTTTACTGGATTTACTGTGTTCTGTAAGAAAACAATCATTTATTTTAATATATTAATGACGTTTTGGTACGTATGAACTGTTTCATGAGCAAGTGCTTTGTGCCAACTCGCATTGAGCAAGCGTGGTGATTAATGCTCAAACCTTCGCCGTGCGAGAAGGGGCCTTTGGGCAGCAGTGGCCATTTATAGAATGTTAATGTGATATGCTAAGTGCCCAGTGTTTTGTCAAAATTACAAGATTGTTAACTGTGGCACTTTTCGTCATTCATTGTAGGTCAAAACAATTTCTAAATCTTTAGAACTCTGGCCTCATTGTGATGAGCTGGTAATATAGTGTATCTTTCATAGTGGTTTGTGATATTTAGATAGTGGCTTCGTAAGCTTCGTAAATCAGCATTTAGAAACCAACCTTAATTCTACGGCTACTAAGATCATTTTTGCATGACAGATGAGCAAAGTAAGTGCGATAACGTAGTAGTGGTAAGACCATTGCCTTATTATGTAGGTACTAGATACAGATACGATCCAAATTTAACCTGAGTAGGTTAAGTTTAAGTTATGAGTATAACTTTGTATCTTTTCATCAAATTTTCGACTTTATTAAATAACAAATAGAGTTCAAAATCTATCAAAGGAAGGTGGATTGGAAGAGATTTGGTTTGCTTGGAGTCTGTAGTCTACTTATTTTCCTTATTGCTCATTAAGGGTCCGCTTCCGACATTATGGAACAAGCCCTTATCTAATATTTCGCTTAGAAAAGATATGATAGATGAGCGTAATATTTCCCGAATAAGTGTGGGAGAGCCATGCTTCGGCACGAATGGGCCGGCTCGACCGGAGTGATACCACGACCTCACAGAAAACTGACGTGAAACAACGCTTGCGTTGTGTTTCGTCGTGTGAGTGAGGTTACCGGAGGCACAATTACCCAGCCCCCCCCTCCCGAGTTTCCCCAATCACCGAATCCTCTACGCACTTGTAACGCCTTGGTGTTTCGGGTGTCCATGGGCAAAAAAATAGTCCGGCAGGAGCCTGAGTACACAAACAACGCCAGAGGCTTCACGAGTTCGTTGCTTTAACTTCGTTTATTGGTTATCGTTTGTTTATTACGCTCATCTATTATATTAGTGTGGTATGTTAAGTAATTATCTAAATAGTTACCTTAGCTATTTGTAGCAGTACAATGGAATGTTTTATATTGTCCAGCATGACCTGTAAATTTAAACAAAAGTTTGGTATATTTAACTGGTACTGAATTTTGTCTGTTTGACTGCCTTGTTGGCCGAGTGGTCGCATGTGCGACTGCCAGGCAAGGGGTCTCGGGTTCGATTCCCAGATCTGGCAAAGTATTACTAAGTTTTTAAAAAGATCTCAGTAATAGCACGGAGTCTGGAAATATGCCCGGTATATGGCAATAGGCTCACCCCCTATTACGTGGAACTCGTAACATGAATAGTGAAAAGTGGATGTTACATTGTACAGTGCCATTAAGTGCCATAATGTGCACCTCTGCCTACCCCTTCGGGGATATAAGGCGTGATACTTACATTGGAATGGTCTAATATAACTTGTCCTTTATTCTTTTCGTGTGGATCAGCTAACTCCGACACGCGGATACTCATTTTCTGAAACAAATTGACAATAAACATTAATTCAATGAATTTGTTTACATTGTAATAGTAATTTGAGTACTATGTTGTGGTGGCCCGGAGGTTTAAAACACCAGCTTCTCATGCTCATACATGGTGCGAGTTCGAAACCTACCAACGGCAAGTACCAATGTGACTTTTTCCAAGTTATATGTACTTTCTAAAATTATCTAGACACCATTGACAAACGGTGAAGGAAAACAACGTAAGGAAACCTAGGCTTATAATTTCTAAGTATAAATTTGAAATCGCCAACCCGCAAGCGTAGTGATTAATGCTCAAACCTTCTCCGTGTGAGAAGAGGCTTTGCTTAGCAGTGGGCATTTATAGGCTGTTGATGATGATAGTAATTTGAGTACAATGGGTGGTCTTATCACATGCGGAGATATAAACTGTCAAACACCAAGCGGTCACCGGTGACCGCAACCTCTTAATCTATAATTGTGTCTACAAAACCGGTATTCGACGAGTTAATTCATAATAAAAATAAAAATATGTACAGATACAAAGTAATTGTCGCTTTGTTATTGTCTGTTGTACGTCTTATGAGATGACAATTAGTTTAAATTTTAGAATATAGCTATCCTACCTCTAGCCACGTGTCAAGGTCGAGACATGTAGAACAGAGGCCATTGAAATTAAAAGTAATGGGTTATGAACACGATCTAAAGCACGCTTTGACGTATTTATTTTCTTGATAACATAGGGGCAAATGAGAAAAGGGGTCACCTCATGGTAAGCAATCAGCGCTGCCTATGAATGAATACCCGAGACATCAGAGGATGTATAGGTTTTATACTGCTATTTTAAAAAAGGTCTTAGGTACTTACAGAAACTAGCTCAATCATAATTTGTAGATACGCGTCAGCCTCGGATATCCTCCTCTCCAGGTCTCCGTGCCTGTGTCTGGGCGCGGGCATGCACCGCGACCACCTCTCCCGTCTGCCGTGTCTAGCTATAGTGTCCTCCAGTGCTCGCACCCATCGTTCTCTTTCTGAACCGTCTCTGGCCTGGAAACGTGAAAATAATGAAATAAGTTGAAGTTCGAATTAGATTTTCTTATTGAAACTGCTGTATTTTTCCAGTAGTATTCATGTAAAAATATAAGTACAGCTTTTTTGGTCAATAATTTTTTATACCACGACACCTGGTGGTTAGTGGTTACTGTTTGGTTACATGGGGCATTACATGCACCTTGCCGACCCTTAAAAAAACCTATTTAAGTACTCTCTTCTTGAAGAACCTCTATTATATTTGTTTATTGTAAGAACCTATTGTAATGATCGATGATGATCGATCTGACTGATTAGTTATGTTATGGATGCACATATGTTCGATTTATTTCATTTCAGTTTATTGTAGAGAACATGGAACTTTCTATTGTCCGATAAAAGGATTTGGCTTTCCAAAATGAGGCCAATAACATAAACCTTTTGAGTGGTGTGTATAAAGTTTAAATTCAAACATTACCTGGAAGTGGAAAGTCTTATGGTCTACGGTAATGGTGAAGGTGGAATCGTCTTCATCATCGATGCCTATGACAGCTGCCCTCAGCCGCACGCAGCCTCTTCTAACTCCTCGGGTCATTTTCTCTTTAGACTGGAAATAGATTAAAATATATTTGTTAATATTGAACATTAAGCAAATACAACATGATATCTGGATCGCCCATATCATGTTTCAGTCTTCGTGAAAGGATTTTGTCCTTTACTAAAACAAAATATATTGCATGTAGATGTCCTTAAAAACGAACAGTATAAATGATCATTAGCACACAAAGTCTTAGTATTTACATGAATGTATATTAAAATGTGTATTATTCAATACAGGTTCAAACTCCTTAGCGTTGGGAAGTGTCGTGTTGTGTGTACGTGATCATGGATAGCATTCGGAGAGCCTACGATATAGTGTTTTATGAGAGAGCAGGTAATTTTAAAATTAAATAAATATGGACATTTTTACGGAATGCGGGGCAAATGTGTAGACAAGAGATCAGCGCTGCACAAGGATACCCGCAACGCCGGAGGAGTGACAAGTATTATATTTATTCCATGATTGACCGTTGAGCAAGAAATCTTGGGTTGTGCCAATTATCGGGCCAATACTAGCTGACCCAGCACTTCGTACCGCTTGAATTTTTTTGTCACCTTCTAAACATTCCCTGGACTTCCACGAATATTTCAAAACAAAAGCTAGCCAAATACCTCTAGGTTGAGCCGTCCTTGAGTTTTAGCGAGACTAACGAACGGAAATTCATTTTTGTTTATATAGATAGAATACATATAAAATTTACTGAAAAAAATATTTTAGTTAGGTATACTAAAACCGCATCAAAATCGGTTCAGCCAACCGCGAGATAGTCGCGCACAAACATACATACATATAGATTAAACTGGGAACCTCCTTTTTTTGAAGTTGGTAAAATAATTAATAATGGACCCTGGAATTGTCCCAGTTGTATGCAACTGTACATTGACTATAAACGACAAAGGTACACGAACAGTCATACATACAGATAAAAAGCTTTTCCAATACATTAAACACCCACAACCGTCTTTTGAAGTCGTTACATCGAGCGATGATACGCGAACATTACCTACAAATTGCTACATTATGAGGGAAATCTGTCATTTCACTAAATGGCACCGCATTTTTATAAATGTCAACCACCGCTTTATAAAGAGCAGAAACAGCCGACATTTAGTATATACAGTGACTATTATGCATGCATGTATGTCTTTATTGACAAAATAAATAAATCGTGTGTTATATTTAAGTGTGGGAGAGCTATGCTTCGGCATGGCTCTCGAATGGGCGGGCTCGACCTGAGTGATACTACGGCCTCACAGAAGACCGACGTGAAACAATGTGGTATTGTTTTTCGTTGTGCGAGTGAGGATACCGGAGGCCCAATTAGCCCCCCCCCCCTTCCCCAATCCCTGAATCCCCAACAATCCTCAAATTCCGAACCCAGAAGGCCGGTAACGCACTTGTAACACCTCTGGTGTTCCAGGTGTACATGGGCGACGCCGATTGCTTACCATCAGGTGATCCGTCTGCTCGTTTACCGGCTTATGGGATAAGCCGGTAAACGAGTAGACGGATCACAAACCTTAATACTTTAACTGCCAACTTTAAAACGATGAAAGTCAAACCTCCACTAGCGTCAGGCACCGGTGACTGACATGGCAGTCTAAGGGTTAATGTTGTTTCCATTGAAATTAATTAGTCTCAATTTTTTATTTAAAACGTGTTTGAACAACAGGTCATAAGAGACCCAATGCGGCATGAAACTAGCCGAGCTTTTTGGAACAGTTATCACGAGTCAACCGTACTAATATTTACTAGCATTAGTAGAAAATGTCGATACAAAGGCTGTCCTATTGGTATTCATACTATTTCCCCCATCGAACAATAATAGATCGACATAGTAGAAAAACTGAAATTCCATTATTGAAGTCTCAGGGGCTCACAATAACGGGACATAATAACTTCAAATGTTTTCCGTGTCTGCCCACAATCACGACAACACGATCGTTTATCTGCACATCAGACTATATAGCTTTTACCATGGTAACTACTGGAAAATAGGGACAGAAAACCTAGAATTAATAAGTTCATTGATCGTTCCTTATAGATGGGACTTGTTCGTGGAAGAATCTTAGCTGTAAAATTTGTGTTATAGGTATGTAAGCATTTGTCCTGTAAATCATGAAACATACACAAGAAATTACTGTATCACAGCAGTGACAAAATAATTTAACGCACTTTTTGCCACATAGGAATAAACACGTGTATCCTTAAAGACTATTTCTACTACGTAGAGATTTTAACAATAGTTTTAGTAATAAGAAATTGTAGAATCGTTTCTATTGCCAGATTAATACCGAAATATAAGAAAAAAATCTTCCAAACTTATAACGACAGTTTGATAAACTCACACGTCTAAGAGAATTAAAAAAGTGTTCTTTATCTTCTTAACATTTAGGTTACGTCCATTTTATGCATGTAAAGTTATCATTGTTTCAAGTTGATCTTCTGCGATTATCTGATCTCCCGTTACTCTCCAAGAGTACGGTGTTGGACAAAATTAGTCACGATTTTAAGATGGCAAAACAAAGTAAATGGAACATATGGTGTACGAGTTGCTGAAACAAGGAAATGTGCAATCATGTGTGTTGTGTGTCGTTGCCCATTGCTTTTACTTTATAGTGGACTGTTAGTATATTACTTTATTTGAAATAAAGTAAATATCAAACGCTATTAAACACTATCATCACTTGATGACAATATAAACAGTGATTTTCTTCTAGCTTACTGAGGACAACGGAGATATATAGCTTTCTATAGCTAAATAGTCTGCAGCTAACGCTACTAGAGGACAAGCTCGCTATCTACCAATCCACTCTCATTAATTACATGAAATCTGTTAACATTTTTCTTCATTCCATCTAACCTTAATCAATAAAACTCTCAAATCCTTGACCTCTTCAATCCTCATTACTCTGACATTCGTGTCAGCAATTACAGTCTTATCGCCATTAGATTCTAATCACTAAACCACAATCGTTTTAAATTAGGTCTCCTTGGAGAGCCTTCATTTAAAAACAATTCTGTTTCTAGGTTCTTTCAATCACGATGTAGCACTAAAGTGTTTCAAATTGATAGTAAATTGGCCAAACTGCGGTAACAAAAGCTGAGACGGACGGACATTATATCATTAATATCCTTTCACCTAGGTAACACTGTTGCAAAACCACGATGAATATGATTTAATATTTCTTTGTTGTGCCTGATGCAATGATAGTGGACGGTACAGATTAATTTATGCTGATACTAATAGTAACGGGAGTAAATCGTGCGTTTGCGCATTGACTGTATTGGGGTTCTGTGGGGGTTGATGACAACCGTCATACAACCAAAAAATTGTGAAGTTTTTGTTTAGAACAAATGTGTAGATGAACAATTTGCTATTGAAAAATGGTTTAATGAAGTGAAAATTATTTTTTATTAGAAAACAATAAATATTCCCAAAGACAGTAGCGAAGCGTAAGCCTGTCTTATCTACCCTACATGGAGTTTAGGGTTGTGTAGAAAGGGTAGGAATGTTATTACTTATTAACAACATACGTAATGGGCACAAAAAAGCAATTAATTCAGTCATTACGTTAAAAAATCCAGCGAAAAGAAAATCGGTGAAACCTGGAGATTTCTGAGAGGTTCACAGAGGCTAAGTTCATTCCTTTGCCTATTCGAAAAAATAAGCGAAACGAAGTCTAAATAAACTACGGAACCCTCATTGCTACTCAGCACTTGATATAATAAAGCTGCAATTTGCAGCATTACGAAATCTAGGTCAGCCAGACTGAAGTCATCTGTACGATGAAAAAGTGAAATACTTCTTTAATGTACCTGATGTGTTTAAGAGATTAAATTGTTTGACTTCTTCCTAGATATTACGGTTAATTTAATGTACCTATGTAATACAATACTGTGATTGTTTAATTTTTGTCTGTTACTATTTTGCGCTTCGCTGCGCCGGTGTTCTAGTGGTCGGATAACTAGATTGCGATTCCTGGGTCAAGCGAGTTTGGCGTGGTTTCATAGTAGTGTGTCGCTTTTAAGTGCCTAGGGATCCTGTTAAAATTCTGAATAGTGGGATTTTATAGTTGGATACAGTTTGTAGGGACACAATGCACACGTCCCGCTATGTCAGCAAATTTACTACCACGATGCATGTATAAGAGTCGCGAATAAACACGACATACACTACCCCAAGTTAGTGATATTGAGCTAAGACTCTAAAAGTTAAAGGAACATACATGGATTTAGATAAATCAGGTTCTGAAAATAGATTTGTAAAACATCCTAGAAAATCCGAAGACTAGTTCAATAATAATTACAATAGACAACAAAATAATTACAATGATTCAGTCGTTAACAAAAGAAACGATAACACAGCGACAAGACATACTAAATAAATTTCCGTTATATCAAATAAAATTAATAATTAATAGTCATAAAAAGATAAAGACAAACATTTGATAATTTCTGTGAAAGTATAAAGTACAGTATGAGAAGTAAATGAAACAGGAAAGAGTGAAAGATATCATTTATCTTAATACCTTATTGAAGATAAGGGTTCAATTATGTAGTTGCATAGACCTGAGACTATAAACTCTGTGACATTGTGACGGGAAGTTAAAAATATGGAAGCCAACAGTTTACACGCAACAAAACTTCGTGGGAAACTTGATGTACAAACAATAATATCCTCTACGGTTTATTAAGGAATACACGACGTTCGCTTGTTATAGTTTCTCATATCAAAGGGAATATTATACTCATATCTTACAGAAATGGTATACCAAAATAACTTCTTTTATTCTTCAAAGGTCAAGGCTAAAATTACTTTATTTGAAACATCCTTTGCAATAAAAATCTGTAGTAAAATATCCAGATTCCAATCTCATCATTAGTCGGATAACAATTATTGTTGAACAAAAGCCTATCTCTTCAGGGGCTTGCCATAATCGCGACGTTTGGCAAGCATCTTGGAGATAGTAGTTAGGTCAATGAAAATTTAGAGTGCTGCGGTTTACCCTGTTGTGGTGGCTAGTCACAGATTAGCGAGGATACGTGTATTACATTCCTTCCCTACCCAACTAGGTACAACGATGTCCTCCCACATTTCAGTATGCATATTTAGCATGCCTATGACATTTCTTCTTATAACACAGACAAACAATACACACAACAAAGTTGTCAGTTATGTGTCAGATCCTTACACAAACAATACAATTCAATGATTGCATAAATGGCTACATCCGAGTGGAGTGCTAACAAAGATGTCGTGTGAACATGATTTGCATACCTAGTTATATCATAACAACATAACATTGCACTGTGTATTTCCTAAAGGAATATATTAAATGTATCACTAATTTTATGCACTGCACTTCATGCAATAGTAGCAATCTTATTGCTCTTTTGGGACATAAACTACATTAATTATGTCGCTGAGAATTCAAATAGATGAAATAAACCATATAATACTAAGCAGCAGCAAGCTCAATCCGACTTGAGCAAATACTCTTTGCTAGGTCGGTAGGAAGCGTTTTCAATCCTTCAATGGTATAGTCGAAGACAACCTGATACATGCGGAACCTTTTTAGACATAATTTTTATAGTAATTTTCTTCTTCGCAGATCAAAGAGTCAAAGATTGGGCTCTGATGACATCTCCGAAACCTTTGGCTGCAATCATAGCCACATATCTGATCACCATCAAGCTGATTCTACCTACCTACATGAGGAACAGGAGACCATATGAACTTAGGAGTCTCATCAAGTGGTACAATGTGGTGCAGATAGTTTCCAATGCTGTGGTCACTTGGGGGGTGAGTTCCCTTATATTTATAGGAGAAGAGAATTCAAGGCGAAAATAGGATATGTGCAAGCATCTGTTATATTGAAGATCGTATTAAACTTTAGGTACGTTTAAAATCTAAGATTCTAAAGTTATGTGGACCTTTTACGTTAGTATCACTTTAAGACTAGGGTTGAAGAAGAAGGTAGGTAGATCTGGATCATTATAGACTTCTATTAACTCCTATATCAGATCCAACATGTGTATTATCAAGTGTTTGATTCTATAATGCATGATTCCTCATTGACTTTCTAGTCTTTCTACACATGAGCAAGTTATGTGTAAATTTCGATGTCTTTAGTCCGTAAATTTCGAGTAATTGACAAATATTTTAACAATAAATTAGCAGAAATCAGTCTATCATTATAAGAAGGCAATCAAGAAGATAGTATCTATTGTCCATGCAGCTGCATTAGACCTTTGTCTTTATACAATTGTTATCAGATAACGAGAAACACGTCATTTCGCTAAAATTGCAACGTCATTTGCGTTATCATTATACAATGACTTCACAGTGAACGATATTTTTATTCTTATCAATTTATTGGGCATTTCTCGTCCCCTATATAGCTTGGAAAACAATAATATAAGTTTGGTGATAAAGTGTATTTTAAGCATGATTTAATATAGAGGTACTGCTTAGATATTCACTAGCTGTGTTATTATGTAGAGGCTGTGCACTGTCACGGACTGTCAGACAGATCAGGTAGATACTTAAAAATATCGAAATGTACCTCTAATATAGAGGCCATGAATTTGTAGCACCTGACAACGACACATTTTGTTTTGGAAACTGCGCAACAATTCAATTTTTTTTTAAGGGGGGAAAATCATCGAATGACTACTCCCGCCTGGGTGAGGTGGGAGGGAGTGTCAGACTCTAACTGACTCAAAATCACCCCGTTCCTTCTCCTGCACGTCGAGCCGGGGCCCCGGTAACCCGCGGTTCTCCACGACTCCGATTTCAATATATTTAAACAATTACTGCCATTTTTTAATTTGAGGGCAATATCATTACCCTTGTTAGGACGAGAGGGAGTATCAGACTCTTGCTGTCTTAAAACCACCTTGTTCCAACTCCGAGTCGAAGCCATGGTAACTAATTACTAATGCCCTCAACTGGTCAATACACAAATATATCGTTTCCTATCCATCATTAGTTTAACTTATGTGGGAAAATATAATAAAAAAATTCAAAATATTTAAAAAATGTAAAACAATATATTACAGGTTCATGAGAAAGTAGGCAGTGGCTAACACATACACGCACATACCACACACAATAACATACATACATATTACATATACATTTGCGATGTACACACGTGTGTCACACCGGATATTCCCGCCCGGCCCGTGTTACGTACGGGTCACGCAGTGTCAATTTGATCAATTTCATACCGCCCAGTACGTGTAGGGTGTCCATAAATCTTAATATTAAAATAAAATTTATTTTCTATGAGTCGGTTTGTGTGTTCCAATCACTGACCTAAAATAATCATGTGTGAAATAAGTGCTGACTGTCGCTTTTGTCAAAAACACCTGTAATTCACGTGAAATAATGAGAAAAGTTCTACTAGTTTCGAATCACAGAGGGACTTTTCTTCATGAGAGGACACGGACCCGTGAGAAAGCCAGTGTTTATAATTATGTTTATTTTTTTTAACGGTGCCCCTCACTAGTAGTTTCTCCTGTGTCGTGGGTGCGTTTACAAACATACACGTTCACATACACATGACGCCCAGACCCGAAACAACAATTTGTGGATCACACAAAGTGTTGTTCCGTGCGGGAATCGAAACCGCGGCATGCTGCACGGCAGCCGGTTGCCCAGCCACCGCACCAACCGTGCAGTCAATTTAAGTTACTCAGGTATTCTTTAAAAGAAACACTACGAAAATCAGGATATATGCCTGAACAACAACGCAGACAAAGTCGGAGACACAACTAGTACATACTCGTAATACAGAAGGATTGTTCATTCTTCTATTGTTTGTTCATTTTCACTGAGATGAAAAGCGATCGCCATTGTGTGTCAGTCAGGCTGTTCAAACGTTTGTATTTGAATAATTTTTGTACATTGTGAACAGTTAAGCTGGGTCAATTTGTCCTGGTATTATTAAGGCTTTAAAGACTGAATGGCGTTATACTTTTCATTACTCTAGTTTGAATGGCTCCCGTTTTTATTATTTAATGTTTCATTGTTTTCTTTTCTTGTAGACTTGGTAAATACACGTCTTTTTTGGAACAGAGAGTAACTGAGTAAACGAATAAAGTGCTATCACATATAGTCAGCCATTTTAACCTGTGGAGTCAAGACAATTTTCATCGTTTTAGCTAACACTAGACAAATGCCATATACACATAAATAATCACAACTATTTTTTAATGGGACAACCCCGCCACAACCTCCCAAAACCGCTGCAACTCTTGTAAGCCAGGATCTACAGTAAATACAACCATGAAAACACCAGAACACTGAAGTCCGGCGCTTCCCAGGGACATAATTAACTGTCTTGGTTCCCGCAACTAAGTGAATCAGAAGATGTTATAAGAGGAGAATAAAAAAAACAAATAATCACAACTATGAGGCATATACATCTAAAGACACGTAACCAACTGCCATCTTAAGAAATGTAATTGAATAAATTCAACATCTACATTAACAGTACCATTAATATCCCGCGACACCACATCGCATGCTTACCCTAGCGTCTTGGCAGTAGAATCACAATGTGATGATTGATAATGATTGTATGATACAATACTATTACGGGTACCGTACACTTATCATCTGTTCTAACATGTTTATTCTATTACAGATTAATGCATTTGTGACATGTTACTTAGTAATTGCTTCATGGTCAAGTATGTTTGGGTCATTATGGCTTTTCCCAGTAGCTTATCTAAAGCTATTGTTAAACTGTGGATTTATTTTTTTATTTATTTAACTGTTTTGTACAAATTTATACAATGGCGGACTTAATGCCGAATGGCATTCTCTACCAGCCAACCATAGGGTGATGCAGAGAAGTCTTACAGTACATTTATGTGTTCGTTAAAGATATTTCTAAAGAGAAGAATACGTGAGCCATGCTTCGGCACGAATGGGCCGGCTTAAACAGGAGTGATACCACGGCCTCACAGAAAACCGACGTCAAACAACTCTTGCATTGTTTCGTCGTATGAGTGAGATTACCGGAGGACCAATTACCCCCCCCCCCCTTCTCCAATCCCTAAATCCCCAAAAATCCTCAAATTCCTAATCCCAAAAGGTAATACACTTATAACGCCTCTGGTGTTCCTGGTGTCCATGGGCGACGCCGATTGCTTACCATCAGGTGATCCGACTGCTCGTTTACCCGCTTATCCCATAAAAAAATGCGTTGTGTAAATTATTTAGATTTTTAGTACAATGTTTAGTCTGATACCTTATGGGGTAGAATGGAAAGAAGACATTATTATTATTGTATCAACATCAAGCAGCATAAAACACAAAAATTAGGAAAAATTTGGCTTACAATGCTGAAAGAAAATTCAATATGAAAGTTTAATAAAATTAGAATGAATGATTAATTGTTATTACTGAAAGTAATATTGAGAGAATTATATTCATTAATTTCTTTTCAAAGGTTTAATAAAATATTTTAGAGTAATTGCAATTTTTTAACCGTTTTCAAAAAAAGGAGGTTCTCAATTCGACCTTTTTTATGTTTGTTCGCCTCCGTTGTTTATGAACCGATTTTAATAATTCTTTTTTTTATTTGTAGAATCATCATACCTGTTTTAAAACTGACAATGTTCTGCATACTTATTACAACTACAATATAGCAGAAACGATCTTATAACAATATACTAACATAACAAGTTTATAGCTCTACTATATTTATCTCTCAAACATCAGATAAACGGTTCGCGAAGATCATAATTTTTTTATTTGCTATCTTTAGAATCTAAAATAAACTAATAAAACTGTTAACGTTAGTATTATATTTTTGCAGGAAAATAGTGTACATCTGTCTAATAAATATTGTGAAATAGACAGATTCATCTTTATACTCATTTTAAGAATACAGTTTTATATGTTTTCGACGATAGATTGTACAAGAGATGATGGCTAATTCTATTTTTTTTTATATATTTGATGGGTGACGTTTGACCACTATGTCGCCTGGTGGTAACCGATGATGCGGTCTACGATGGAGCATGTCGACCCTAAACAACCTATTCACTTAGGCCGTGAAGACACCCAGATTATATACCCTTCAGGAAATACAGACTCTGGCTATAGTATACCGATAATTTGAGCTTCGAGGTTTCAGGCTTCTTTTTTTTTATTTATGATTTCTTTGCCAAAAGATTGATATTTTTATAAACACTTTTTTAAATATCGAGCACAAAAGTCATTAATTTAAATTAAGTATTAACATAAATGCTCAACAATGCGCGCATACGCACCTGACAGCTGCCGATACCATAACCAAACAATGCCTTAGTACATCACTATTAAAATCATGTAAACTTACGTTTAAAATATGAAAAGCAATAAATTGTTAACTTAATCATTGTCTAAGTCATAAAGGTTACTGAAACTATATTAACTTCTTAATCCCCAATTATGAAAAATCCAGAACATTTGTTCATACAAAAGTAGTCTTTAAACATCGGAAATAAGGTCTATAAAGGAGTAAGTGAAGAGCGGTCACCGGAGACCACATGTAGTTGTAAAAATGTGTGCAATTCTGGTAAATCCGATCCCTTTCAGCGTTGAGATCGTGTAACCACTCCGTTAAGGAACTTCTTCGATCTGCAGTGGATGTTCCACCATTGATGATGAAATATTTATTCCACTTCTTCCATAAAAATCGGCAACTTTCTTAGGCTATCACCAAAATACATTAAACATATAATTAATCGTACTTATTGCCCGTTGAATTCAACATGGCGTGACACTAGAAATTCCAACGAAATTAACTTAAAATCTTACGACTTATGAGATGAAACGTGTTATGGAGTAGATGCCACGCCCGTACTTTCATTCAGCAGAATGTCTAAGGCAACTAAAACAGCGGGTGGTGTCGCGGAGCAGACATTTATTAACTGACATCGAAATAGAGGAAGGTTCTCAAATCGTCGGAGTATTTTAAAATGAACATAATGGTTTATTTTTGAATTTAATTACCTGATAGGTCAAGTGTTTGTAAATGTGGTGAGATTAAGGTTTTTATTTTTCTAAATTTATAATTAGGACATTCGAATCTAAACTCTGCTGTAATTACACATTTGTATGATAGTTGATAATAAGGTTCCAATTACAATACGATGAGTAGCGTGAAATTATGTAAAGAGACTATAATAAAGATACACTTTTACCTATAGATAACCACAAGCCTGATAAGTTACATTTGAATATTTGATGTTTTCCTCCACATGATGTTTTTAGGAAAGGCCGTAAATAAAAAAGTAAGTACTTGAGCGTCAGAGCGAACGAGTTTTCTAACTTACACAAACTTTATAAGAGATACGTGACTGGGTACAGGGATATTTAGGATTAGACGTCACTGGCAAAACTCATAATGAAACGTCAGGAGTTTACGAAAACAATTTCAAAAAAAGAAGACATTTTCTATTATAACAATACGTTCCCACAAATGGAAAACAAGCACAAGGCTTCTGTATATTATATTTATTACTGTTTACTGGCTTCTGTCCGCGGTTTCGTCCTCGTTCCTCTGGGATAAAAAGTAGCCTTTTTTTATGGAATAGGAGGCATACGTGCAGACAGATCACCTGATGTTGAGCGAAGCCTATATCTTATTCTATCATAATCTGTTTTAAATTTCAACCCGATCCCTTCAGCCGTTTTGACATGATTGAGTTATAAACATACAAACAAACAGACAAACATTCACATTTATAATATTATTAAGATTGTCTGTTTTTTATCGTCATTGACACATTTTCCCTTATCTCGCTTTAACTGCACATACGTCCAAAAAAACCGCTGTTTCTATGGCCCGTAATCGCGCTTGCCCATCAATAGATTAGTCATAATAATGAGTCATATAGAGCGGTTGCGAAGGTGGGAACGACCAACGCATTGTGTTTGTATACCCTTGCTACGTTTATGGTCTAATCGTGTATAAACTAGGTAGGATAATGAGAAAAACATAAACAGAGGAAAGAAATGTTAAAACTTAGACTGAAAATGAAAACAATCGTTTTCGTCACACCTTTTTTAATTGTAATGTTTTATTCCTATTTCGTTTAATTGTCTTAGTCTGATCAACTGTTTTTACCATAGCCTGAACCTGATATTTGTAAAAACAAAGTTGCAAAAAGAATATAGCAAAAATGGAATCAAGGCCTGTTCGTAGAGAAGGCCATGCCCATAGTCCACCAGAGGACTGTCAAGGGCTGTTGTTAATAACGACACCACAGGTATACCTCAGCTCTTCGTCTTTCACATGCATTGTTAATACCATATTGGTTTTGGTTTCATAATTGAAAACGTATAATATTATCTGTTTTCCTAAACACTCAACATTTAATTATTCAACAACAGAAAATATAAGATAGAACACGGTTTAATAATACCATAATATTTACTTACAAAACCCAAAGGATTGCCAATAATATAATTCGGACAAACATAGTTACCGAACATAAACTCACAACCTACACAGCAATTCCAAATATTGATAGCCGAAAAGACAATATTTTCGCATATTAAACCTTTCCCGAACGAAACAATAGCCAGGGACGTCCATTGATTAGGCCCTGCCATAAGTATTCTAAACTTTTCTTTTGTTCGTATTGCCAAACCAATAACACTGTGCCTTGAAATACTATTAAACTATTATTGTACCAATAAATTTTCTATTGTACTGTCGACATTATTTGACTAGGAGGCAAAGCAGCCATTTACAATTCGCGAGACGCTCTTGGCATCGGAGATCGCGAGACGATCTCCGGCTACCTTGTGCACGGGCCTGCGGACGGCAAGTACGGGAAACTCGCCGCCTGACCAGAACCAGACCCGAGCGGACGGCGCGTCGCGTTTCGCGCGCGCCTCAAAGAGCCATCAGACCACCACAAATGGGGCCCAATAGGGCTGATGCTGATACGGAGCCGCGGAGGGCTTAACGGGCTGCCAGGGTTCCGGCTCGAAGTGCAGGAGTAGGAACGGGGTGGTTTTTAGTCAGTAAGAGTCTGACACTCCCTCTCGCCTACCTAGGCGAAAGAAGTCATTGGACGATTATTCCCCCTCAAAAAAAAAATAATAATACAAAAAGCCGTTAACAATACATATTACATTTGTGTTGAACGCAAAATTGCATATAAATTGCTTAAGTAGTTTATAATCTGAAAAGTTACCTATTTCTATCCCCTTATTTTAATCGTATAAAATAATACACCTATGTTTGATTTCCTGAGTTTTACTAGACGGCTTCATTTCAACTTGGTTATAATTAAAAATCTGCACTTTATAATACGACATCATCTATAGATTGATTTAAGACTATCTACCTACCTAAGGCAACAGTATCTTTATTGGAGAATTTTTCCTAAACAAATTGTGCCTGCTTTGTCAGGCTCTTGTCCAGGACAAAACAAAAATAAAATCTTTATGTTCACATTGTCTCGGGAGTATTTTCCTTGCAGCTGACTAGAACAAATGGGGAGGCACTAATTACCGGCCACTTGGAACGTGGCTTCAAGATACTTAATGGAAAGTATGTCTAGGTTTTTTCTTTGGAATTGAAGTCATTTTGAACTTAACGGCTTCTAAATTAAGATATCAAATTAATATTATAGAAATGTTGTGTTATAAATAAGTATGTCAATTATTTTAAACATAAAATAATGTCTCGTTGGTTTAGTTGTTATGCACTATGTAGCAAAGGCTTTACTAAGGTCTTAAAATATTGATGTATTGTATTTTATTACCCAATTATTATTAGCACTAGCATTAAATATTTTTGGGCTCGCTGCCATCGCAGCGGTAAGTCCCCTCTTTGAGGAGTGGCTTGAGAGACGCTACGGCGTCCTCACCTACCGCCTGACGCAGGTCCTCACCGGACATGGAAGTTTCGGGAGGTACCTGTGTCTGATGGGGCGGGAGGAAACGTCCGGGTGTCATCACTGCGAGGACCGCCCTGAGGACACGGTGGAACACACGGTGGGAGAATGCCCTTCGTGGGCTGAGCACCGCCGTGTCCTCAGGGAAGTGATCGGCGATGGCGACCTCTCGCGTCCGGGCCTAGTGCAGGCCATGATGCGGAGCGAGGGGGATTGGGATGCCGTCTCCTCCTTTTGCGAAGCAGTCATGCTAGCTAAGGAGGAGGCGGGACGCGTGAGGCAGCGAAGCGCTGCCTCCTCGCAACCCAGCCATCGCGAAGGACACACCGGGCGTCGGGGATCGCGGGACGATCTCCGGCCACCGTAAGCGCGGGCCTGCGGACGGCGAGCATGGGTGGCTCCCCGTCCGACCAGAAACAGACCCGAGCGTACGGCGCGTCGCGTTCCGCGCGCGCCTCAAAGAGCCATCAGACCACCACAGATGGGGCCCAATAGGGCCGATGCCGATTCGGAGTCGCGGAGAACCTAACGGGTAACCGGGGCTCCGGCTCGACGTGCAGGAGAAGGAACGGGGTGGTTTTTAGTCAGTAAGAGTCTGACACTCCCTCATTTGATACTCTAGTGGGTTAAAAAAAAAAAAAAAAAAAAAAGCATTAAATATTTTACGGCTAGTATTATTTTATAAGTTTAGCATAGCCTTCCAAAATCTACGAAATATTAACTTGACCTTATTATTAGGAGACTGGTTTCGCTGCAGTTAGGTCCTATTAAACATGTATGCTATTTTTAAGTACAGAATTTTAGAAGTAGCACTATGTATTATAGCTATAGCCTAATCTTTTACTATAGACTTTTTTGACTACCGACCACTTGTCTGGTTTCGGCACCTATATATTATGGGCACATTATTCTCTCAGATCGTTAGTCAAGTACGGCCTGAGTGCCAACATTGACTCAGCAGAGACCCTCATTAAAGAACCCGCACTTCATGTGTTAAATGTAAACGCATTAATCATTCAAGCCGACCCAAAGTCTACTAAGGAGCTCTTTACGAACTTCCAATTCAAAGGAACCACCTTTGTATCAGTACAACTTGATGCTATTACAGTTTAGTTTTATATTATCCACGCCGGTATAAAGCCAAATAAAATATCGTCTGGAACGGTGATCCATCAACTCTTAAAAGAATCTAGAATTTATGATTTTAGGATAATGAGAAACATTGGATATTGTTTATTCTGTTCTCTGTTGTTGCCAGCTACAAAATAAATATTCATAAATCCTTATAAATATTACAGACTACATTATCTACCTAGTTTTATAAAGCTGGAGAATATTCATTTTTTCGTGGTGTTTTTTGGCATTAAAAACGTGATTACTATTTGATAGCCTATCAAGTTACATTATTATTATGATCCTATTCATTTTATCTTTTAGTGGTCTTTTAAGTCCTTTATTTAACGAAAATCTTCCACATCTTTTTCCAGATTATGACGTCAGGATGGACCACCACATACCACTTCGGCTGCATGTTACCAGACTACTCCATGAACCCTGAAGCTTTAAGAATGCTCCGATTCCTCTGGTGGACGATTATGTTGAAGCTCCTGGAATTATTTGAGACTGCTTTCTTTATATTAAGAAAGAAGGATCGGCAAGCTTCCTTTCTCCACGTCTACCATCATGTCAGCACCTTGATCATCGTGTGGTCTGCTTTGAAATATGTTGGAGGTAAGTATGCTATTTTCAAAATTTACATTATAAGAAATGGCGCTTTTTGACGTAAGTCTCCTTTCGACTTTCCAATGAAAAGAAAATCCAATTAAGTCTAATTACTCAACCTGTAAATTAAAAAGAAGATTTTATGCCCAACAATCGTACAAGCAACCGCTCAACAAGGCAATTAGAACAAATTGAAAACAGTGCACTTTTATTTGAAATTACTGGAAAAGGGGACACGATGCCATTTTACACGATAAACATCAATTGATCCTTGAAACCTTGATCTCTACTTCAATAGCAAAACATCGGGAACAAGTCACAAATAAGAAAACGAGAAACAATTTCATACTATTATGACAAACGTACCATTCAATAAAGTGACGTCATTATAATAATATCACAAAGAAACTAAATTTGACAGATGACGTCACGTTATGAGCCCTACATTCAGAGATGTACGTCATTCATGTACAAAAATAACTTGGAGAAAACGAAGGAACAACATCTCCAAAATATGTATAGCTCTTGTGCCCATATATCATGTGTACACAGAAATCCTTTCATGAAAATACAAACAAGCAATCAGCGTGAATAGTTGGATCTACCGGAAGAACAAATATGTCTTCGCAAAACAAATATATCCCTGATTGAGCGTGAGTGGAAATCTAATTTTCCGCTACAAATATTGGCATCATAAAATAGTGCAATTTTATTATGAGATTTCATCAACTGTTAGGCAAGATTCGATGTGTAGATTTATTTTAATACTGAATGTCGCCTCGTTGGCCGAGTGGTCGCAAGTGCGAGTGCCGGGTAAGGGGTCTCGGGTTCGATTTCCGGGTCGGGCAAAGAATTACTGGGTTTTAAAAAAAAACTCTCAGTAGTAGCACGGAGTCTGAAATTGTGCCCGGTATAAAATATGGCAATAGCCTCACTCCCTATTACATGGGATACATAACATAAATAGTGATAGGTGGGTGCCTGCCCCTTCGGGGATAATAGGCGTGATGATGTTATGTAATGTACGTTTCGGTGGTATACCGACTTATGCCATAAAAAATACCAATCTTTTCGTGGCCTTGAGAGAGATAAGTCCCGAAAGGAACAAAATTTTCAACTAAAACTTTTAGTCATCTAGACTGCCTAAATAGACAAAATCACATTTGTTAGGCGATTAAAATCTCATAAGAGTATGTAACAAAGTGTCAAGGAAAAATAACTGCAAAATAAAGTTTAAAATATGAACTACCTTAATCAACAAGTTTGTCGAAATAAGTTAAAAGGTTACTTTCGAGATCAGCGCACAACAAGATCTTGTCCTACATTAGCTCACTCAAAAACGCGTCAGTAGCCATTACCCATGAGAATTAACGCTAAACGTGTGTGTTACGAAAACAACAAACGTCTCTTTGTTGTTTGTTGGATATTACTTAGGTTAAGAGTGGGGTTAGGATGACAGTTACTATATAAGCGGAGGAATACCGGCGCCTTGCCCCTATTCGGTCACCATCCGTCGTGCAACATACATTCAGGTTTTGTTTTGTAATTTTGTATATTTAGCGAGGGTAGATTGTTTTCATTTTGTTTATTTAAGAATTTGTTCTTTTTGATGATTGTGTAATTAATTTTTGGATAATTGTGTAATAATTTTAATTTTAGTTTTAAGGTAATAAATTGTCCTTTTTAAAAAATTCAACCTGCTTCTGATTTCTAACAAAAAAAGTGGGATAAAAGATTCATTCCCACTAATATCCTGACATGATCTAAACATTTTTTCTTTTTTCTTTTCTTTCAAATTGCGAAGCACTTAACTATTTTATTTTGTCGTGTATTTTTGTTTTTTACCCCCTTTTGTTTTTTTTTTCTACCTGCCGTTAAGCCTTGTGTAAGTTTTCTTATTTTTCGTGATTCATAATTTGACAATGGACGAACGGAATCGTTCCCGTTCTTCTAACCGCTGTTCGCAGATGTCTCGCGATGGACAGCCGCGTTTCCATCGTCGTACCCGGAATAGTCGTTCACGAAGTGATACGCGTAGCCGGTCGCGGCATTCTTGTGATGGTTCGCGCTCACGCACTCCGCATCTTCGATGTTCACGAAAACGACGCACGCAAAGATGTCACTCTCGCAGCAATTCACGAAGACGCTCGCCGCATATCAGGCGTTCCAGTGGGCGGGACTACGGGCATGGTCAAGTACCACGTGGCGAGCAGGCGTCGCGCAGCGTACGCACGCCGCCGCTGTCACCCGTGGCCGCGCCGCCGAGCAATTGTGGATCCTGGAATGCTGTCCTGGCGCGATTGGAAGCGCTGGAACAGTTCTCATGTGCCAGCTTCGGTAGAACGGACTTCAGTTGGACGGCCGAACGGCTAGCCAGAAACCAAGCCGCCATGGACGCTCAAGTTAACGGGGATAGGCGTCCGCCTCGTGTGTTTCAAGAAGGAGACTTGGTCTTAGTCATCAAGTATGCCCAGTCCACGGGGAAGCTTGATCATGGCATGCGCGGGCCCTATCCAGTGGTTCGTGTTTTGCCTCATTGGCGCTACGAGCTGCGACTGGTGGCCGGTTCCTATGGCAAAACAGCCTTTGCCGCTGCGCAGTACATGGTACCTTGGGCAAGCGAGTGTACACCCGAGTCGTGTGCTGGTTTCTTCGAGGGCAAGTGTGCCACTGTGTAAGTGCCGTTGGCCAACTTGTGTGGTACCCTTGAAGAAATGTCCTGGGGCAATGTTGCCTTTTGGACTCTGTGGAGATTCTTACTATTCGTGGGAATAGTAGTGTTGTTTGGCCTTCTGTCAGTGTGGTGCACCTGTAGGGTGTACCCATGACCTCTGGAAGCTGGTCGGCTTTGCAAACCGATCAGTCGCTGTGAGATGTGCGCTCATAGTGTTCTTTATTAAGCATGCTAGTCATAGTTATTTTAGTACCTAAGTTGTCTGAACGTTAGTGTTTATGAAACCTGAAGTTATTCATTTATAAACTACAGGTGGTAAAGATAAGTAACTGAACTACGAAACAACGACGTTCAAACCCTATACTTGGTTGTTTATTTTAACACTAACACGAACTAACCTGCATGATGGCAACATGGGCTGGTATCCTCGCCGTTTACTAATGGTTTGACTTCTTCCACAGACAATGACGATGATAACGGTGGTAGTGTGGTTGAAGACCAGCCACCTCAGTTAGAGTCGCCTGCACCAGACCTGCCCGGGCCTATGCCTGCACCAGAACCAGTACCAGGGCCCTCATCAAGACCAGATCACCTGGAACCAGAGGCTTCCCGAGGACTTGACATGCCCGATCTGAATTGAAGCCTGGCGCCTTTTGATTTACCTGACGGGGACGTCAGGATGTCAGGAAAGGCCGTGTTAGATATTACTTAGGTTAAGAGTGGGGTTAGGATGACAGTTACTATATAAGCGGTGGAATACCGGCGCCTTGCCCCTATTCGGTCACCATCCGTCGTGCAACATACATTCAGGTTTTGTTTTGTAATTTTGTGTATTTAGCGAGGGTAGATTGTTTTCATTTTGTTTATTTAAGAATTTGTTCTTTTTGATGATTGTGTCATTAATTTTTGGATAATTTGTAATAATTTTAATTTTAGTTTTAAGGTAATAAATTGTCCTTTTTAAAAAATTCAACCTGCTTCTGATTTCTAACA